AAAATAAAAATAAATGAAACTCAATACATCACTCTCCAAAGGTTGGGAGAAGTTCAACCTCAAACTTAATGAATTTGTCATATCCTCTAGAGGCCATTTCAATAATTGATGATAGAATCCCACCATTTGCATAGGTACCTTATCTTCTTCAATGAAACAATTTATCAAACATTTGATTCAAGCTTGTAATAGAATTTTAGGAATACTCAATTTAATATTGATTTCTCTTTCAATCTCATGGGTGATATTTCACATATCACAACTAGTACATCTTCCTCATAATTGATTGTCGAATTTTGTAGCAATCTTAAGTTGTTGTCAACATCTGTCTCACAAAACTATATCTTCATATTTTTGTTCCTCCTATTGCAATTTATTATTTGATCCACATGCTCTATAAATAGATCAATAGATGTTTATGATAATATTATGGTATAGGATCTCAAGGCTCTAATACCACTTGATATAGAAAGAAGCTCTAATGCTAATTGATGTGGAGAAAAGGGAGAAAAAAATATAAACAAATAAAAAAAGCAAAAGATAAAAAAAAAAATAGAATATTGTACCCTCTCAAAGACTAAAAGAGAGTCCACCAAAAAAAATCTGTTTACTAAATCTAAGATAAAATCTTATTCTCTTCACCATCACTTTTTTCTTGATCTAATAGGTACATATTTATGGAAGAAAAGAAACTCAAAACCTAAATTCTTTCATGAGAAACCCTAATCAAAGATTAACCCTTCAGTTTGAAAACAAATAAACTTTTGATTTTGCCCCTCAATTTTCCACAACTAAAAAAGACGTAAAAACCTCTAAAGAAACTAAAAATCTAAAATAACCACAAATTTAAAATCTAAAAAATAGTAGAACAAAAAGTGAAAAAGCTCATTACATCAATGTAGATATGATCTACTTTGCCTCCACCTAAAGTTACTAAAACCATTAAAAAAATCCAGCCCTCCTGCATAATACTGAATACTTCTACCATGATACTGTGACAAATGGTCCCCTTGTCTCAACCCTGGATGCCTTGAAGAAGCCATGTGGTTTTCCATAGAGAAATACGCACATTCTATACACCTAACGACCCATTTCATCCATTTATCTCTTATGCAGAATCCCCTAATCTATTTTAATTATAGGCTTTTTTTTTTTTTTCTAAATCTTACTTTTTACCCCTGTTTTCTTTCAGCTTTTCTCGAATCGATACATTTTTGTGCAACTAATATACTAACTATAATTTGTCTATCTTTTGTAAATGTCAATTGTGGTCCTAAAGTGATTTTGGTAAAACCTCTCTCAACCTATTTGGCGACACTTCCCTAATCATTTTTGTAGAAACCGGTTGGTAGATTGAAAGGTCTTGCATCTTTTAAGGTCTTTATAATACTCTTCTTTGGGACCAACACTACAAAGGTACTTTCCCAATCATCTTGTACAAATTGAGATCTTTTAAACACCTTATAACACTATTAAAAATTAGCATCGATTGTGTTATTCCCTTTGGTAGAATTCCTCAAACACCATTTTAATGTCGCCCTGTTACCTCCCAAAACTTCTGGAAAATGGCTAGCAGAAATCCATCTGGTCATGGTCCTTTGCACAAGAAAACTGCCTCTTCTATTTATTGCTTTAAAAACCCTTTTACCAGCTATATCTTATCAGCAATCGCCTGATTCCTCACCGATACTCTATCCATCTTCATCTTAGGTGTATATTCTGCCGTAAAATCTTTTTTTAAAATTTTAAGGTCTAAAAATATGTATATTATAACAAATTATTTAGACCATTCAGTTCACCCTAAAATTAATTGTACTATTTTTTTAGTTTTAAACTTTATTATCGGTGTTAGAAATTAATTTACTTCATCATCATCATGTAGATTTTTGTTGTTCAAAGTGCTTTCCAGATGAAGATTTAAGGTGAGGCTTTATTTTCACCCTAAGAAATTTCATCCTTTTGGGAGATCCCTTGCTTTTCCTATAGAAAAAAGTTTTATGTAAGTGTGAGGTTCTAAGCAATTAAATTAGGGTGCACCTCAAAAATTTTGAGAGAAGAGGTTGTTTTGATACCCAAATATCTTCAAATTGATCATCTCGAGCTCAAAATGCATGAAATGAGAAAAAATGGATTTCAAGTTTTCGGAAATAGTGCTGCATCTTTAGTGTATTTTTTTACCATCAATTTTCAAGATTTTCATGTTTTCATAGATCTGCTCGATCTTCACTATTTTTTAAGCTTTAAATTTTATAATTAGAGATGAAAATATATTTAAAGCTATCAAAACGATTTCTAGTATTGAAACCTCATTTCTCGACACTATTTTAAGATGCGCTTTACTTTAATTGTTTAGAGCCTCGGCTTTATACAACCAACACCCCTTACTATATTGTAATTGCGTGTAAATATTTTATGTAAGTTGCAACCTTACAATATAGAACTAAGGTGCACCTTAAAAATTCATGGGAAAATGTTGTTTTGATATTAGAAAAACCTCTAATTGATCTTCTCAACATTTAGATGTATGAATATGAAAATAAAAAAGAGTTTTGAATCTAAAAAATAGTGCATCTTTCAACATGTTTCAAGATGGTCCATTTTCAAGATTTTCGTATGTTTATAAATCTACTTGATTTATAGTATTTTTGGATATTAAAATTAATAATTAGAGCTAAACATGGATTCTCAAGCCATCCTACAAAATTTAAAGCCAGAATTATATCTATAATAAAATTTGGAGGTGGACCTTAATTTGATTACTTAAAGATGTAACCTACCGTGAACCACACCCATCAAAATGAATGGAAATTTGAAGTTAACGATGAATAAATAAATAAAAACCATTTAAAGAAATAATAATAAGATGGATGGACGTTTCTTGAAACTCAAGGAACTTACAAATTCATAAAACCAGCGGACGCCATTCTTCATTGCATCATCACTGACGATCCGGACACAATACTTCATTTCGTCACGGTCCAAAAATGGATTGGGAATGAAGAAAGGATTGGGATCCAACACCTATTGACAAGCGTACTCGCGCATAATATATATTTCTATGTATTGACAAAATAGAGTTGGGCCCATTTTTGCTGAAAATTATTCTCCAAAATTGACCAAACATTTTTTGCTTAATTTCAAACATTATTTTTAAAAATTGGTTCAGTAAGCAGGCCCATCTGAAAAACCAGTTTGGATGAGTGAATCGACGATCTGGATCAGTGCTCCAAACAAGAGAATTGGCCTATATGAAATAAAATATAGGGATCAAAATAAATATTAACAAAATAATAAAAATGAAAGTGGGGCTGGATTGGCCGGCGCCTTGACAGAGAAGGTAGGAACTGGACCGGTCCCATTAATTCACGATACAGATCCAGCTATTCCGATCTACATTAACAATTTTTGAAATCAGTAATTTTTGTGTATTTCTATTTATCCATGGGTTCTTGAGCATTAGTTATTATTGTGCCCCAGTATCAAAGGCATTGACTTTCTTCCCCAATCGTCTATCCTATTGATTATACGGTGATGATCAAACCATAGACTTCAAACGTTCACAATTTAATTTACTTTTTTTTTTAGTTTATGTTTGTTTCGTTTAATTTTCAACTCTTTTGACATTGCCGATGAAGGCGGTAGAATTGTAACTGACTCGGCGACTGGATTCGATATAACAGTTCCAGAACTCGGTTTTTGGGTTTCAAACTGTATACATGGTCCAAATGGAACAGTCGTCTCTCCTTCTCTCCAAAAGAGGATGTGACCCCGTCCAATTCGATTTGCTTTGCTTTGTTTTGGGAGCACAGAAGGAAGTAGGTGCGATTGAACAAGTCATTTTGCTGACTGGACCCGCTCCAACTTCAAAAACCGCCACCAAAACCTCCCTCTGTGTCCATAAATATGGATACCCCTCCTCCTTCCTCTTTTTATCATATAACTTACAACAACTCAACATCCAATTCTCAGCATCTCTCTTCCTTTTTATCCTCGGGTGATTTGAGTCTTCTAAATAAAGAGGGAGGGCCATGGCAGCGATAAGCCTTGGGGCACCCACTTGTTTACCCTACACATCTTCAGGCCCAAGAGTGAGGGCTGCATTATCCCTTCACACCAACCCTCCAAAGATTAACTCCCCTTCTCCACCCAAACTCGAAAGCAACCACTACCTGTCTAACAACCAGAGGCAGCTAGGGGAACAGACGCTCCTCTTTCCACATGGAAAAGAAAAGGAGGAGCCTGTGCTCATGGCCAGACTCCAGGCGGTGGCTGAGATTGTCGCTGATAGGGCCGAGATGCACGCTAATTTGGCAGAACAAAGGAATAACTGGAACACCCTTCTTCTCAACTCCACCAATTCAATCACACTCGCGGCTGCAACCATGGCAGCCCTCGCATCATTTCCGAGCTCCCATCTTTCCCTCACCCTTTCCTCCACCTTCCTCTACTCGGCGGCCACTGCCATGGTGTGCCTTATGACCAAGATCCAGCCCTCTCAATTAGCAGAGGAGCAGAGGAAAGCCGCCCGACTCTTCAAGAGCCTCCACTCGCATATCCACTCCACATTGGGCCTTCACCCCTCTCTCCGCCCAGAGCTCTCAATTTCTGGATGATGCCATGGCTCAGGTGTTGGCTATCGACGAAGCCTACCCACTGCCCTTGCTCCCTGGCATGCTCGAAAAGTTCCCCTCTGAGGTGAAGCCCGCAATGTGGTGGCCCAAGAGAGCTGCTACTGCTGCTCCTTCCAGGACCGAGGAGGATAACGGGTGGAGCGCTGAGAAGGAGAGGGAGATGGCAGAGGTGGCACGCGTGGTGAAGGAGAGGGACACAGCGGAGTACGTGAGGCTCAGCAAGCTGGTTTTGAACTGCAACAGGGTGATGGCTGTGGCTGGGCCCATCCTGATGGGCGCTGCGACGGTGGGATCGGCACTTGGGGGCTCAGCAACAGTGGTTGGCGTCGTGGCTGGTGCCTTGGCATGTATTGTAAACAGCTTCAGCCACGGTGGGCAGGTCGGGATGGTGTTCGAGATGTACAGGAACAACGCTGGATTCTACCGGTTGCTTGACGAATCATTGTCGTCTTCCCTAGGCAAGCCTCCGGCGGAGAGGGAACACGCAGATTTGGTGGAGACGAGAGTCGCCCTTCAATTGGGAAGGAGTATCTCATCACTGCGCAACTTACCCACCTCTTCCAAAGATCCAAAGGAGTTCGGAAGCAGGCTCTTCTGATCAATCTTTCTACTTCCCGCCCCGCCCCGCCCCTTCCCTCCAAACAAGTCGGGAGACAAAAGGGTTTCTCCCCATCTTCATCTCATTCCTCATAATGTAAATGTCTGAATATTCATTTACTTCTCGCCTCCCTCGCCCTCCATACAAGTAGGGAGACACAAGGGTTTCTCCCCATCTTCATATCATTCCTCATAATGTAAAGATTCATTCATTTACTTATCTCTAAAGTTTCAAATAAATTAAAAATTATGTGGTTTCTGAGAGCCCACTAGACACTTACTCTCTAGACGAACGAGGTGCTTGGGAGTAGACCTCAGATATAAGAATTTCAAAAAGAAATTGAATTGAGTTTCTATCCACTTAGTTTCTAAATGCTTAAAATCTAATCAATTGAAGTAGAATATAAATCTTGTACTATTAAAATAAGATGTATGTCAATCATTATCAAAGCTTTTTTTCAACTAATTGAGATCCACTGCATAAATCTTGGCCCCCAAATTTGTTCTTTTAAATGTTATATCCATAGTGAAGCCATAAGTCCTTAAATCATTTGTCTCTACTTCCAACTCAAAAAACAAATAAGGTTGTTATTTGGACACTGGAAAATCCTTCATTTCATCACCTAGGCCTAGAAATGTATCATTTTTTTTATAAAATGAAGATTTCAGGTGTTAAAAACAATATATTTTGTGACACACCATCGGGACCCTCCATTTTCAAGATTTCTAAGTGTTTATAAATATGCTCGACATACATTATTGTTGTGTCACAACACAAAATTCACACTCACAACAAGCACCTCGTGCACAATATGAGATAATAAAATTAAATAAAATCACATGCACACCAGAGATCACGCACACATGCACAAATCAAATCTAGAGAGAGAAAACTTCGATCTATTACCAAAAATTACTAGAGTACAAAACCAAACTTACATCTATGAGGCACTAGTTCCATCATTGGTTCCCTGGTTACGACAGTCAGCCTCTCTATCTGCCATGGTTGTATCCTAAGTCCCCACAATACACCCTTTCTTTCACAAGGAAACACCTCACAACATCCTTCACTTTCTAGGACATGTCTCTCAGGACTTTCTCACTCACGACCTCTATCGGCCTCACACACCAAGACCCAAAGATTTGATTGCTGAACCGGATCAAAAATACAAATGGACGATCCAAATCACCCATCCGTTTACTAAAACCTTTACTCCTAGAAGCGGTTTTACCAAAAGAGAAAATGGACCATAGGCGACCATGGAATCACCTCATCTTCTAGCTATATATCAACCAATAGGATGTGAGTTGTGTGTGAAAGAGAGAGATCATCATAAAAAAAATTCTATATCTTGGAAAGAAAATAAGGCCAGATGCACAATATTAGCAATAAAACCAAGTAGGAGGCCACCCAAACAAATGAACATAGAAGATACATGAAACCATCAACGCTCAAAATAAGTACTCTACAAATAAATAAAAAAGAGTGATTTAAATATGGACCTAAAACTTTTTTTAAAAATATGAAATGCTCTATTCATGGGTAGAAAGTACAAAGAAAGTTGGTCAACCTGTTTGTTTGTTTATTTTTATTTTTATTTTTCAAACTTATCCATTGGTTAGAGGATGGAATCCTCTGTCTAAATTTTTTGTTTTAGTTTTTGTAGTTATTAGGGACATGCCCGAACCCTTAGGGTAGTCCCGTACTGAAGAAAAAAATTTACAAAAATAAAATAAAAAAAATCTGTCCGAGGATGTCCTTAGATTGAGTGACAATTTTGAAAAAAAAAAATGGGTTGACCAACCTTCTTTATAATTTTCAACTCGAAGCATTTTGAATTTTAGAAAAACATTTAAGATCCATACATAAATCACTCAATAAAAACAACCGTAAAAAAAAATAGAGGTCTAAGAGGGTGAGTTCAAGCTTGAGCCTGTCAGGCTGGTGCTTAACGGCCTCGATATGGATACTCACTGTTTCCAACCCTTTGTAAGCCACACTCCTTTCTCGCTTTGTTCCCTTCTAGCTCACCCCATCAACCAACCATTCTTCTTGCTTCCCTTTCTTCTACTCCCTTCTCATCAAGTATACAAGACCCTCTATGCCATACCTTTGATTGTGCAAAACAAGAAGGATTTGGGGGGAAAGTCGTTGCAAGTGGCAAAAAGATTTTACATCTTTAATTAACACCGTGTCAAAACTTGTTATATGTCATTTTGGATGTATTTGTATTTCTGAGTCTCGTAAGGAAAGAGTCAGTAACAACCCGATTCTATTGGTAACCAAGACACCGCCAGACTATAGAAACACTATAAAACAAGCTTAAAAGTAGGCAACCTTGAAAAAATACTGGAACGGCTTCAAACGGCATGAAAATGGTAGTTTACGATGATCGAATGATACTCACAAAGTTTCGTTATATTCCGATAAGTTTTGTGCAATACTACAATTGTCCCAAATTTTTCTCTTTATTTTCTCTCTTCACCAATATTCTCAATACTCTCGTTCCTAATAAATCAACTTTCTTAAAATTTCTCTCATATTGTATCTCTCTTAATAAATGTTCCCGTGTGATTTTCTCTCTTCTCTCTCCTCACCATAATCTCATACATCTCTACTCTCTTTTTCCTAATAAATCAATTTTTCTAAATTTCTCTACCTCTCTCCTCAACTTTTCGAAACTTTTCTTTTTCATAACTTCTATTTACACATGTTATACTTTATATATATATATATATATATATATATATATA